CACATTTATTCTCTCAGTTTAACAACTTGTAATAGCGTAAAATAATTAAATGAGAGTTGTCTACACCAAAATAAGTCTAAAATATTTGTCTGCACATTTATTCTCTCAATTTAACAACTTGTAATTGTGGGAATTAATTAAACGAGAGATGTCTACACTAAAATTAATCTCAAATATTTGTCCACACATTTATTGTCACAATTTAACCACTTGTTAATAGTGGAAATTACTTAAACGCGACTTGTTTAATCAGTTGACATCAATGTAACTTACCCGCAGACAGTGCACAACAGAGTATTATTATTGAGCAATTATAAACAGGAACGTGTCTTGGCATTAGGGTTAGGGTCGGGTCAGGTATGGGCAACGCAAATGGCAAACACCCAATTGGCAAAATGTACACTAACGGGTTATGGCATGCATATAGTTTACACAAGTAAAAACACAAAATTGGCAATTTTTTGGACAATTGTAACTCAATAATAGAAATATGTTGTATTTCTATATATATATATATATACACACACTATATAGTCTCATCAAATGCAAACACATCCAGTCAAACAATTGTGGTCTTGTGGTTCAGTTGTCTACACAGTGATCAGGAGTACCTTGGTTCAATTCCCATGCCTGCCCAACTTTTTCTCGCAAACACTATTTGGCAATAAAGTTAAATACTAGTATGACAACAAATTATTCAACTTGAATGACTACCCACATAGCTCAGTTGATTTGTACTATGTCAGCAATGTGAGCAATCGCTGGTTTGAATCCAATATGTTTAGCTAGATTTTTGAATGCTAGTGTAGACAGTGCTCCTATGAATAGGACTTAAAGTGTGAAGACACTGGACAAGACAGTGTTCTGGGAACTCAAAGATCGTAAGTTCGAATCACGGATTGGACACTCCTACAAAAGACATGACGTTAAAAGATGTTAAAATCATAAACAGCGGATTCAAAAACTCAAGTCAGGAAAACAGAACACAAGAATACTACCCCTCATGGAAGCCAGTCGAAGTCGTCGAAGAAATGGGTCCCTTCTTTTGTATTGACCCCCTAAGGATTACTAATCCCCCTTTCTAACTTTTCCCCCCAAAATAATATATCGCCCCTTTTAAAATGTATTGACCCACAAAATAATGAATATTCATGAGCACAGAAACTGCTACGTCATGAATAAATTAGCATAATTAAAAAAAAAATGCATAAAGTGTAGGTACTCCTTCTAGAGCCCTGTCACAAACTCGGCCAGAACTGCAAACACGCCGTTTTATTTCACTAAAAAAGTGTCTCATTCTACACAAATTATTGCTTTCAAAGCAAGAAGGTCAAGAGAGGGAAACCAGTAATACGTACGTGTTTGCATATTTATGCTTACGCTGTGCAGGTCACTCGATTATGACTTTAAACCAGGGAGCTGTTTAAACCCACGCTTCTGGCCATGTTTGTATACTGCCATAATATGTACAAATTTTGCTGTGAGCTGCTCAATTTGTGAAGAAGAATTTTGTAAACTGACTTCATGATAGTGCATTGATTGGAGATATTTAAAGCAGGGAGTCATAACCTGAGCATGCGACAGACAGCGTGACTATGTGTTGTTATCGTCGCTTAGAACTCATCCCCGCGCATGCGCAGATGATGACCTCGGCTCTTTAAAAAAGTTGCGATTAATTAATCAATCGATCGATGGCGGGTATTAGTGTACTATGTTATTATAAATATGCCAGGTCATTATAAATGTATCACCTAACTATAAATATGTCAGGTCATTATAAATGTACCACCTAACTATAAATATGTCAGGTCATTATAAATG